TTTGCAAGCGCAAAAGAGGGGAAGGTTTACAAGATGAAAGCTCTGGTGTTTGGAAGACTCAGCAGAGGGGCCAGGGCACTGCATAGTTGGGGCAACATCAGGTAGGTGGGGCCTGTCAGCACGAGAATGGCGAGTGTTGTCATTCCCATCACCTTCGCCACACATTGCAAAATGAGGTAGTGGAAGTTTGACACCAGGCCAACGCTCGCAATTGCCAAGTTGATAAAATTGTTTGCCTTTTGGAGTGGGCCAACACTCGAAGTTTTGCATTGCTGAGTAGAGGGTTATCTTGACCTGGCCGTGATGCACTTGCCCGGCCTTGGAACACAGGCAATATCTTAGTGAGGAAAGCATAAAAATTCTGCATCACCACACTGACGTTACACCTAACTCACACTTCTCCTCGACTTGCTGAGCAGCAGCGCATGCTGCTACTGCCTTTTATCCCTGGAGCAGCCCACCCTGGACACCCGCACACGCCACAGCATTCACGCACTTTTGCAAACTTTGCCGCACACATTCTTCGGCCCAAGTAACACCGGCTCAGGACGCGGCGTGCTGCCCCGGTCGGCCTGCCGCCTACCGCACAGGTAATTCAGTGTATCGAGGGATACCGGTGGAACGGGTATGGGCGGGGATACCCCACTCGCTTTGAGCACACTGCTGCTTGCCACATCTGCCGTGTGCGGTGTCTACGGTGGTGACCACTCTGGGCGCCCCACGGTAATCAAACCCTCGTCAATGCTTGCATGCTACGACGGAATTTTGTCTACATCTTACAGCAGTTCATCATTGTATTAGCAAACCCAGTCCCTGAACAAACAAGGCTGCTGTGGATGGAAGCGCAACACGGACGCGCTCGCTGCGCCGTTGAGGTCGAGTTGGCGACACGGCTTCCCACTGAGGCCCGTAAGGCTTTCGTAATACTACACAGTATAAAATTATCGTGGCCCGCTCTCTGCCTTCCATCATCGCACCCACTGAGCTGGCACGCGGGTCACCGCATGAGTCATTTGCCCCTACACCTCGCCAGAGCGTTCCTGTAGCCTTCGCGTTCGCCATCAAGCGGTTGAGGCCTTGCGTATCGTTGCGAATACTTCAGCAGGGTTTCGTCTAGGCGAGGCTGCCAGCAGAGCGATTCTGACAGCAAGTCCGTCGCAAGCATGAAGTGGCTGGTGCGGGGCGCGCGGAATGTGTGGGAACAAATGCGACTCTTTGATTTGACACGACATCAGCAGCCCGCAGCTGCGGCGCCCTCGTCTGTCACGGCCGCCGCCGCCGCCACTGCGAGCGCCGCCGCTCCGTCGTGTTTGTGCTGCTGCTGCTGCTGGCAGTGTCCACCACGGCGTTAAAGTTGCGATCCTCGCTCACACTGCCTGTTGCGAATAACCAGGACAGAATTGTTCATGCCAAGACGGGCGGTGCGGAGGCGGATGCCGAGCAATTGGCGAAGCTTGGGTACAAGCAGGTGCGTGGTGGGCAACACTGCATGACACATCCACGCGTTGCCCGCACCGCTTACAAGGTGTTAGGGATGGCGCTATGGCCTCGGTCACGAGCCAGCTCCTGCACGGTAGTCATTGATGTTGGCAGCGCTGCACCGGCGTCAGCAGAGCCACGCAGATTGCCGCATGCTGCCTGGGCAGCCGCCCGCGTGACCCTTGAGGTTGAGTTGCGGGTCCCGCATGCCTGCACGGCTCGTACCCATGCGTCCTTGCATCATGGCTGTCAGAGCGCCATGCTACATGGCCGCCATGCCTGAGCACCATGCCTGCCTAAGCCACGGCTGCGCGTCTGTGTAGTGCACGGCTTCCCTTGACAACAGAATTCCTTGCCATCAACTTCTTTTACTTTGCACCCGACCTGCCGGCGCAGGAGCTGGCCCGCCACCTGAACACCTTCAGGAACTTTGCCATCTGCTTCTCTTTCCTCTCCCCCATCACCGGCCTCACGGGGTGCGCCGCCTGTGGCATAGGCAAAGGTCTAGCAGAGACGTGCGCCGGATCTTGTGGCGCTTTGGCTGCCCGCTCTGCGTGGGTGGTGGTGGTGTGCCATCAATGCCACTTTTGACGCTGCCCCCCATGTTTTCCTGCTGCTGTTGCCTGTGCTCCCACTCCGCCGTCACAAGCATGCAACCCTAACGTACATCTCCTCTGCCCGCAGCACCTTCTCTTACACCTGGACTTATGGCGGCCCCGTGTCCCTGGTGTGGGGCTGGATCATAATTGTGGTCATGAACCTCTTCGTCGGCCTCGCACTGTCGGAGCTCGCATCATGTGGGCTTCTGCTTGGGTTCAGGGGTTGGTGGGTTGGAGCGAGGTCCCCGGTTGCTGGCACATGGCAGGGGAGGGGGCAGTTGCAAAGTGAAGGTGCCTGACCCCTGCGGGGTCTGTGTGTGAGTGAGGCAGCTTGCGATGGTCTTGCGAAGCCACCGCTGCTGATGTGCTCCCTGATAAATAGGGCCATGGCTCGCCAAGCAAGCCGGCTATGCCGCCTGCAGCTCACGGGCGGCAGGGTCGACCAAATTCACCGTGGTTAATGCTGTCGGCTTTGACAAGACGTGTGTATTCCAGGAAGGATTGTGTTTTTCTGGCCAGGCCGCCCAAGCTTATCCTCTTTGCAAACGGCATTCCGCATCGAGGTGTCACACTCTGACGTCACCCGCCTATCCCACTTCAAACTTGCGCAGCATTCCCCACCGCCGGCGGGGTGTTTTATTGGTCCGGACGCATGGGGGGCCACCGTTACGGGTGAGGCTGCTGGGAGGCTGCGCTGGTTTCTGGGCAGCAAGCAGTGGGAAGGCTAACCTTCCCCCTGGGCGCGGTGGCCACCAAATCGGCCGCTTTGCATGCGTCACTGGCATATGAGTCGACGCGTTTGCACTTAATATGCCACTACATGTTGATTTTGTTGATTAATCGTGCAGGCCCATGGCAGCTTGGATTGTGGGCTTCTTCTCAGTGTTGGGCGAGATTGGCTCCACAGCTGGTGTCACCTACACCACAGGTGAACAGGGTGTTCGCACTTACAGGTGGAGATTTGCTTAGTGATTGGCCTTGGGACCGTTCAGTAGGGCCGAGCGTTTTGTGCCGCTCTCGGAACGCCATGCATTCCGCCTTTGTGCATGACGTCAGTTCACGCAGAGATCTCAACTCATCCATTCGTGGTCATGTCGTGAATGCCCTAACTGAAGCCCTGCTAACGTTCCCAACCTCAATCTCCCCCCCCCCCCCGCGTCTCCCCCCCAGCCATCATCATCTCGCAGTACGTGCTGCTGGGCCGCGGTGGCGCCCTCGGCGGTGCGGCCCCCCTCACGCAGTACGAGATCGTTGGCATCTACATCGGCGTTGAGGTGAGAAGATTGGTGTGGCGCGAGCACATGAGTGATGTAAACGATTGCTCACATTGAGCCACCTGATGAGTGTTGTTTGCGCACCAACCCACCCACCCATCAGCTGTGCAGCTTTTCTCTAATATTGCGGTGTCTTACGTTGGAATTGTTGAAACCCTGTTGTTTCCTACCAATCCGCAACGAACACCTCCCGGACCAATTTGTGCAGCTTGCGTCATTCTGCCATGATGCTGTGGAGTCAAAAGCCCGGGCGGTTAACTTCCCAACCCTGTGCTGCTTTTGCCGCCCAAACCAACCATTTAGAACAAACATCCAGGCTCGCATTTAACATACGTGCAATTCTTCCCCCTGCAAACCCTACTGTCTCAGATCTTGATCGGCCTGCTCAACACGTTCAGCATGAAGCTGCTCGACACCGTCGCTGAAGTATCTGGTGGGGGCCTTGGGTGTTTGTGCTGGCAGGACGGCAACGGGTGTGTCCTCTTGCACACTTATATACCTGCGTCACTGAACGGCCCCTCAGCCACACCTGCTGCCCTTCATTTTGTTGCTGGCCCAGCCTGCTCTGCTGTGCAGTGCGCCAGCTTGTGCCTGGAGTGGCTTCCGCACAACCAGGCACATTTACCAAAGCAGCATTGCATTTGTTGCAACGTTTTGCTGCACTTTCTGATTGTTACAGAATGCTGACTGCAAACCTTCGCACAAACCCTCTCCCCCTCCCCTCAATTAACACCTTCTTCGCACAACAGTTTGGTTCCATGTGATTGGCATTACCGCATTTGTGGCGATCCTGCCCGCCATCGCGCCCACCCACCAGCCGGCGTCGTTTGTCTTCACGCAGTTCAGCCCCGACAAGGTGGGGGGCCACACCATGCTGCACGCATGACACCCTCAGGCTGCCGGCCAGTTCTGCTGCAGGTGCTCGGGATACATCAATTGCTTGTCATTCACCCTCATCGCTGCGAAGGCCTTGAGCCCTGCCTCCCTGAACAACATGCCAGGTGTTCTCTGGCATTGGCAGTGATGGTTTCACGTTCCTGCTGGCCCTGCTGGGCAGGTGAGAGGGCGCACGCACACGCACGCTTCGACGCCAACACTGTGTTGCCACAAACATTGGACTGTGTCAATTGGATTTGCTTGATCGCGCCAGCAAATGGGGTGTTGCTGTGTGCCGCCTCCCTCCCATCAACAAGGGGGGGGCCTACGCATGCACACACATGACAACGACAAACAACCTACCTCCGCTTCACCTTTGCTGGGGCGCAGTGCTTGGGCCATGGTGGGCTACGATGCTGCGGCTCACCTGAGCGAGGAGACACAGGTGGGTTCATCTGGGGTTTAAAGTGTTGCAGGTAGCGCTTGCCAGCTGGGGCTGTCTAGACCGGCCCGTAGCACCCCTGCTCTCGTCCACCAAAGCTAGCGTCGTGCTCGGTTGTCTGGTAGCCACCCAGCACGCGGCTGGATCTCTGTCCACCTGGTTTGTTGCCCTGCATGCCTGAGAGCCCTATGCCATCTCAGCCCGTCACGCTGCACTATCTCCCAGGGTGCTGCGATGGCCGGCCCCATCAGCCTCATCTCCACCATCCTGGCGGGCGCTGTTGTCGGCTTCTTCTACATCCTGGCGCTGCTGTTCTCCGTGCAGGTGGGGCGCGCCAGCAGCCCTGGGTTTTGCCTCGCACACGGCAAGGAAGCTCATGCCGTCCGGCCACCCCCTCATGCTGCCTGCACTTTCCCGGGACCTCCATGTTGCTCCCATTTTAAACCGCTCCAATTTGCCTGTTGTAACTCGAAAAATCTCATGTCATCTTCACTTACCCTTCCACCTTTTCCTCTTGGTTCACCTTCCCAACGCAAAGGACCCATCGGCCGTCCTGGCTGGCGACACCGCAGGGGGCAATGGCCCCATGCAGATTACTTGGGATGTGTTCAAGGCGCGCTTTGGCAGCGGCGTCGGCGCGCTGGGCCTGTTCGTGGTGCCCCTGCTGTGCTCCTTGTTCTGCGGCAACGCGTGCCTCACCACGTGCAGCAGGGTGGTGTGGTCGTTCAGCCGCGACGGGAACCTCTGGATCAGCCGCAAGCTCAGGCAGGTGCACCCCAAGTTTGGCACCCCGCTCAACGCTGTGGTGAGTGCCTTGGCCTCGGGAAGGAAGGGCGCGCACATTGTGGATGAGGGCGGCAGGAACCTGGGCCGTCCTGAATTCATGGCCACAGCAATTGTGCTTGCGTGGCTGATGTGGACTCATGCGCAGTATTATTGCTGGCGCGGTCGCAAATTTTGGAAATGCGGGTTGCCTATGTGTATCCCACGCTTACCCGCCCCATTGCTTACCAACTTGAAACTTGGGACCGCAGTGGTTCAGTGTGGTGTGTCAGATTATCGTGGGTCTGCCCGCCCTCTACTCCTACACCGCCTTTGCCGCCATCACGTCCATCGGTGTCATTGGCCTCTACATCAGGTTGGCAGGTTGACGCTCCTCACTCCAATCATACCAGTGCCGTTCAGGATACTGATTATAATTTGGCATCAGGCCCTGCACCGCAGTCGAGTGCTGCAGTGCTGTGCGGCACCAGGGGGTGGATTTGACCAGACAACTGCATGGTCAGGCCGTCGC